CGGGGCCTGTGGAGTCCCCGCTCGCCCGCCCAGCCCGGCGGGAGCCGCGGGTTTCTGCCGCGGGTGTTCGCGTGCGCCCCCGCACCTCCGGCCCCCGGCACGGCTTTGCCTTTACACAGAGAGCCGGGACGTCAGTTCCCGGCCTCAGGAATAACCGGGAGAATGCAGAAGGGAAATAAAACCCGACAGGAAGAAGCCGGGTTGCGGACGGGTTTCTCTGAACTCGTCCTCCCAAGGGGAGGGAACAGCGACGGCCTAATTTTAGACAGTGCCCCAGTATTGCTGTGGAAGTGCAGGTTAGTCGGGAAGGAAAATAAGGGCTGGAGCCGAAGGATCGCGGTGGAGGAGAAAAGTCTCTGCTGGCATGTTCCTCTCGGAGCAACAGATGGGAGCTGTCTGGTTCGCTGGAGCTGCTCTGTGCTAGCGGCGTTCCAGGGCAGCGCGCTGATAAAAGGGATTCGTTTTCCTTACCTTGCCCCGCACACACCCTTCTCTCGGGTGGTGGGGATTTGAGACTGCTGACAGGCAGCTACCTCTGGGTTAAAGTGCAGCAGGTATTTGAGGACAGACGGTGACAATACGGGGTGGCACAGGGACTGCAGGGCTGTACTGGTGTGTTTGGTTGCCAGCAGTGCAACAAGTGCTCCTTATGCTTCCAACACGAAGCAGTTACCTGCTGTTCAGCTTTTTCTCAGTGCAGAACTTGGTTTGTCAGCTTCAGTCCCTTCTCATGATACGTGAAGCTAACAAACGTAGGTCTCAGTTTTGAAAACACACTTTCAAATTCTCCAGTGCTATTTTTTCCTGGATATAATGACATAATTACCAGTTACCGTATAGGAAGGAGCAGTGAAGCAAACAGAAACATCACCAGCTGTGAAAGAAAAGTGAAGGTCCAAACTCCCCTTCTTGAAGTCGTTGGGGTATTTTTCCTCTGCGTTTTCCCCTGCTGTTCCTACCTGACTTTGGCCACATGGTGGGCACTGCTGTTAACTGGAATGATGGAAATAATACATGCAGTGTGTTAACAGTTTGTGGCACAAAATACAAAGTTTGGACTGGATGTGGGGGCTCGCTGTGTGCTGCTGGTGTCTGCACAGCCTTCACAGAGGCAGCATCTCTGGGCTACAGGTAACTCAAACTTCAGCTGCATAAACTGTTCAGCCAGACAGCACTAAGATACTGCACATGCATAAAAAAAAAATAATCTGAAATTCATTAATTCAGTGAGCACTCACAGCAGTTTTAAAATTCCTTTTTAATCTTTACATACAAGAGAAATAGGGACTAGTGACTGACTCTTCTGGCCCCAGAGCCAAGAGGCATCAAATGAAACTGGCATGTTTGGAATAAAACAGAGAAATATCTTCACAGAACTGTAGTTCAGGGCTGGAACTCCCTGGCAAGGCTGGGCTTGGTGATTTTAACATGATTGGATGAATTCACAGAAGAGAAATCACTCAAGGTCTGTGAATCACGGAACATCTACACTGGCTTTGGAAATCCCAGAGCTGCAAACGACTTGTGCCTGGGGGGGCATCCCTGGTTTCGTGAGCCTCCCTAGGGACCCACTCCTGGCTCCTGTCAGAGATGGGTATCTCGTCGGACCTGATGTGGCCGTCCTTGATGTGTTACAACCCCCGAAGATAGCCCGTAAATGATCTCTGTGTCACCCTGCAGTTTTTATGTTTATAAAGGGCAAGGAAGAAATTCTGGAGAAATGCAAGACTTGAGTTCTAAGTCATTTGTTGTATGGAGATTTTTATTTTGAAATAAAATATTTGAAATATTTCCATATAAAGCGAAAAGTGGGGGGTTGTTTGTGGTTTCCGCTACATAGGAAGCCATGCAATTAATTTGCTGTATAGATAAATACTACTAATAAAATTTATTCTGGTTAATTTTATGTATTTAATTGGTTGTTTTGTTTTATCTTTTGGGGTTTTCTTCTTCATGTTTCTTTTGTCCTAGAAAGCAAAGTTCAGACTATGAGGAACATGCTCAGTGTAGCTTAAACCACTCTATTTATTACAGATTTGTGTAACCTTGTAAAACAGATTTGTATATTACAGATTGTATAACCTGAAAAACTACCTTTGGAGCTCACTGATATCATTGCAAGGTTTTGATTAACTTCAGTGAGGGTTGGATCAGGCTGGAGGGATTAATTTAATTTTTTTTCCCCTCCACCCATTTCAGCTCTGTACTTCCTTCCTCTTGCAGAGGCGGGGTTTCAGGAGCAGACATTCCAGTTTGCTGGAGACGTGTAGGAGCTGAGGCCCTGGAGCTGTGAGGGACACTCATTACGTTAATTGCTGCTCACTAGAGGTTGGATGGTCCAGGCTGCAGTAAAGAGTCAAGGTGCTTGTGCAGGTTCTGGGGAGCAGGAGAGCGCTCAAATCAAAGACAAGAGTGCTTGGCTGTTCCCATGGGATTCTCTGCCTAATTAGGGAGGGCTTGGCTGACATTTCAGCACCTGAGACCTTCAGAGTGGAGCAGATCCAGAAATGGGACCCATGGATAGTGATCCTTCGTGGCCATTAGCCAAGGAGCTGGGAATTCTGGTGGCTATGCCCTGATTTATTAAACACCTATTAATTCTGGGCTTTTATTCCTCCTTTCCTGACGTCTTTAGGAAAATATTCCTTTAGTAGGATGAAGGAACACTTCCTGACCCAGGTACAAACCAGAGCCATTTACATGGCTCAATAAACAAACTTGTGGCTAAGAATTGCCAATCCCTGCCCTGTATTTCTGAGAGGCTGATGTGTTGAGCAGCAGTAATGCACATTTTGATTTATAAACTTCTCTAATCAATCAATAGAAGCCTGAGTGAGGCAATCAGATAATCTGAATAATTAAATGGCTTTTCAGGGACAAATTAAAATTTCTTACACACACCACATCCGTCTAACTTGTATGTAGTGTCCAGGAATAAATGGGTTTGTTGCTTTGTTTCACTCCTGCATCTCAAACGCTTCTGACTTATTTCAAAATCATTTCGGGAAAAAAAAATGAAAAGAAAAAAAATGATAAATGGCAGTTTCTGATTTTTTTATGTTGGAAACAGTGCTTACAGAAAAAAAATACTTTTTTTCCATATAGTTTAATTACACATATATTAAGTATTTGAATACATAATTTTATTTAGACATGTTAGACTATTTTGCTTTTTCTCCTCAGAGAAGTTTCCATAACATTTTTATTGTATAGAAAGTTATTCTATAGATTTTTTTTACCTTTTTTTTGTTTAAAAAAAGGAATTCATGATTTCTAAATGTGATACCCTTCTTCACATCTTGAAGTGAATAAAACTGGGAATTGCTGGGTTTTCACACAGTGCTTTCCTCTTGCTTAAGGAATTACTATAGACCAGATTTTTCCAACTGGGGGAGACAAGAGTTTGAAAAGTCAGAAAGCACAAGTATTTTTCTCTTATTTACTCCATCAAAGCATAGTAAAAGAAGGTGGGAGTGAGAGGGTGCAAGGAACAGAGTTTCCTTAGGCCAAGTGGAAATAAAATCATTGCCAGGTTCTGCTGGTCCCAGTCCCTTGCCGGTTCCTCAGGGCGTGTTTGCGTCCTTGGTTCAAGTGGGTCCAAGTCTGCAGCACAGCACAGGCGTGGCAGAGCTGCCACCTCATCCACCCCCAGCTTCCGTGGCCTCTCCTCCTGCTCTTTGCTCCCAGCAGGACTCCTGTGGCCAGGTGGAGATCCAGGAACTGAGTCTGAAATGAAAACAAACTGATACATTTGGGGACACAGGGGAAAGGTGGGAATCCATTGGCTGGGGGAAGGTTGGGACTCACAACTTGACGTGGAGGACCCTGGAACCAAAACTCTAAAAAACCCGGCCAGTCTTGAGTGAGTCTTCATTTTGCACATGAAAAATGCTTTTCAGAACCACAGGCACTTGTAAATGAATATCGTGTCCATCTCCTCCACCCTCCATTAGTCATCGCATAACCAAGCCATACGCACTTAGTCCTTTTCATCTTTCTTCTTGTCAGGCCCTTTAGCCTGTCCCCCTCACCTAGTCATCCCACCAATCATTTTAATTAATCTCTGAATTTCTTTGAAACTAGTAGTTTGTGGAATGGGGGAAAATGAGTAGGTTAGAGAGGCAAGATTGTGAATGATGGAGGTGGGGCAAAGTTAGGAGGCTTTGCAAGACCTGTTGGGTTACCTCTGGGGCAGGACAGCAGTGCTGTAAACATGCAGAAAGGCTGCAGAAGTGAGGGAGGAACCACTAAAAACATTTTCCATTTTCATAAGAAAGCCGCCTGAGCAATTCAAACCCTGGATGTTGATGTGCAGGAACATCTGAATGAAAGATGTGATATGATTGTCACTAAAGTGGATGGGATGACCTCTTCACTCAGTAGTTATACTAAATTTCTCACTATTGTGCTATAGAGGATTTCAGTGCTCACTGCAAGTGCTCAGAAATATATTTTCAAATAAATAATGAACTTTATAATTTTTTATTCCAACACCTGTATGTATTTTTAAGTTTTTGATCAAAACCCTGAGCAAGTAGAAGTTAACCACATTGCCTAGAGATGAGTCTGAAAGGAATCCCAGGGCCTTGCTTCCCATGCCTTTTAGAGTCCTGCAATGGCTGGGGTTGGAAGGGAACTTAAAGATCATCTTGTCCCAACCCCCTTGCCCTGGGCAGGGACACCTTGCTCTAGAAGGATGTTTGGGATATTACAAATCTAAATGTCACACCAATAATGTCTCTGTGCTCATTATTTCTATACCACAGCTTAGCTGGTGCTCCGGGAAATAGAGAGTTGGGCAGAGTTCCCATCCTGTGGAGTTTGCAGTCAGAAAAATCCTCCTCACACCAAGAAAGCTGGCAGAGTAGCAGTTGATCCACAGTGGGAGCCCAGAGGGGGAAGGTAAGCACGGGAGGAGGCACTGGAGGACGGGTGGCATATGGGAAGCAGACGGCTCTGCTTGGCATTGGGAGCTGGCAGCAGGAAAAATGTACCATACAAATAGAAGCATATTGATGCTGAGTGCTGGGGAGGCAGGTGAATGCCTTTGAAAAGGTATTTATTGTGTTCAGGGGGAGAGATCCTGCTGGAAGTGTGCATATGTTCCCATATTACTGAGGTGGGGTTTCTCTGTGGAGAACTGAAGTTAGCTTTGTGGTCTTTTGGGTATTTCAATAAACAGACAGCAGTGTCAACAAAATGGATTTATTTGTGGTTGCCAGTTGTGACTGAAAGCCTCAGAATAACTGGATTTTTAACCATTCAGAGTCCTTGGTAAAATAGCTCAGTTTTGATTAGGGTCTCAGGACAGATACAGACTGCTTAAATTTTTAATTAATAAACAATCTGGCATCCTGTCAAAGTTGACACCTTGCTCTGTCTTAGCAGCTGTTGGCACAGTAAGCTCCTGGCAACCTGGGATAAAGCACTACTTGCAACAGGAGAAGGGGAGGAAGCGAGTCTGCATGAGACCAGAACTGCCCAGTGAAAAGCAGCACAGAGCTCAGGGATTTCCAGGCAGCAACAAGCTTTCCTGTGCCCTGGGCTCAGGCTTGGACACAGCGAGTTCCTGTCCTGAATGTCAGCAGTGGCTGGTGGGTGACAGATGTAAGGACACCTGTCTGAATTCGGGTAATGGCTCTGACAGGAGGAGCAGCAAACAGAGAAAGCATTCAACAGTGAAAGTAGGTCCTGCAGGTTGCTCCTTCCCAGGGATTAGTGTGGTGGAGCCTGTGGGGAAGTTTACTGAGTGCCTGCTCACGTAATTCAAATGGAAACATTCACCGTGGATGACAGTCATTTGTGTTGGAGTCATGGTGTGGGAGCAGTTAGGGTTGCCAAAGAGCCAAGGAAGGCAGTGTAGGGAGGAAAGGGCATGGCCTGGGAAGGACAGTGCCTGGAAGCACAAGCAGAGTTCAAGGCATCTGTTTTGGAGAAGCAGGTGCTGCTGAGCTGCTTCTTTTTCTCTGTCCCACCTGATTAATAAACAACATCCTGATTTCTGATCCCAGCTGAGCTACCACACAGTGAGGCAGCTGCTCCTCCCTGTCCAGGCAGCTCTGTCCCTCCACGGGCTGGGAATGGCCCAGTCTCACCCTCAGCAGACCCTCAGGACTTCCACAGGAGAAGAACCAGGATGCCCAACCTCTCAAAACTGCTGTTCTGTGGTAAAAATTATATGCAGCTGCCAACACTACAGCATCTCTACATTCCCTTGTTTCAGAAGGAAGAAAAGATGGGAAATTTAGCCCAGAATCATAAGGGTCACTATGTGAGATCTTGTGATTTTACAGTGGGCTCAGGAGCAGTGTCCCCATGTGTGCTAGAGCAAGTCCATGAGCAACTGGCAGTGCCTTTGGTGGATGGGTTGCTCAGCTCACAGGACTGTTTACAGTCTGTTTTGAACATATGAAACATAAAGAACCATAACATTTGAATATGTTAAAAACAAGTTCATAAGATCAAGGAAAATTTTCAGAATAAAAGGACAGCGCTAAAGCAAAGACCTGTGAGTGCTCTGAATTGAAATTCAGATTAGTTTAAATTTAACTTTTTTTTTTTTTAAATAGGAAACAACTAGAAAGCCATTCCAGAAGTGGCTGTGTGGTATTTAGAGAGCTGGGTACCAGCTGCAGCATGCACAGATTTCCAGAGGTTTCTGTTGAGTGAGGAGAGGGTTGTGTGCTCAGGTAAGTCATGTGAGGGAGGTGAAGCACGTGTGTTGTAAGAGTTAATGGCACAATGTAGCCTTGCTCTACATAAGCAAGTTTTGTGCCGAAGTTTCCCAGTTCCTGCAGCTGATGTAGGAAAAGGTGTGTGGCTGGCAGAGCTGCAAGCCCAGACAAAGCACTTCTGGGTGTGGATGCTCCCAGCCCATTGCCAGGTGCTTCAAATAGGCATTTATGTCAGAGATCTGAGGTCAGTTCAATGATAGCAAATTTCAGCCCTGGATTATTACACAAATATTAGTAAGAACAGGGGTATATTTCACATTCATGTTATTGGTCAGCAGAGTATTCACCTAACCCTTAAGCAGTACTGGTGGAGAATATATTTCCCTTCAAGACAACTAAGAAAACTTTAGAAGTTTGGCAAAAAAATGTGTTCACCTCTTTAATATAACCTTGTGAGTTTAATGAAAAGTAATCTTATTTTCTGTATACCCAAAGAGGAAAAACAGGAGAAGAGAGTCAACTCAAATGGGAATTGTACTCTTCCCTGTTTTTGCCTCCCCACTGAATGATCCTTAATCACCTTTGGCATTTTTGTAGCTTGATTTCCCTCCTTGTAAAATGGGCATAATGAGACTGAAGTCCTAGTAGAGGAGGCAGATCTGAGGGGAATAAATGCTGGACAAGTGGTATAAACTATTTTTATTTTTTAAAATGCTCTAAGGAATAGGTACAGAGAAGCAATGGATTTTCATCTGGAAGACGATCTAGGATTAACTTGTTGGTATAAAATATTCGTTACTGCTCCCATTTGCTTTTTAGGATATCATTCAATGACATTTTTATTGGTTCGTGAACCTTGTAATGCATTTTGAATCTGACCCAGGACTGTGAGGAGCTTATACTGGCACTTAGATTTATGCCAGTTTAACTCTCTGGTCACTCTTGGACTTTTTTGACCAAATATCTTCCAGTTGCTAAGGACTTGCTTTTTGTGGGGGTTGTTTTGTTTTCTTTACATTCAGAGTCTCTGCTTTGAGGGGCTCTGTCAGTGATTTGGAGCTGTTCATGTAGGAGGCACTATCACATGGCAGCTTCCCAGAAGGGGGATGCTGAGGCACAGCCACCAGCACCTCTCCACCTTCCCACTGGTCGTTTCCTCAAGAATAAGCTCTGCTTCTCAGTCCAAACCTTTGGCAAGAAGATGACCACGTGAAACACGGGAATTCTCCTGCTTTATACCCCCTCAGGTAAGAGGATGGCTGCCACAACCGCAGGAGCGGAGAGATGAAGCTTACAGCCCCTTGGGTCACTTCCATCCGATAAATCTGCCCCTGAGCTTCCCTGGCTGTTTTTCCACCTGCGTTACGTAGTAAACTGCTCTCACATTGCACTGCTTTTTAAGGAAAACACGGAGCGCTCCTGAGCAGATGTAAATCAGCAGAGCCGGGAATGACGTGGGGCGCGCCGTGGGCTCGGCCGGCCCTGCTGACACAAGAGCCAGTCCTGCCTCCTTCCGGCTCCCACGCTGTCCCCTCCCTGGCGCTGACACAGCCGGGAGGTGAAGGCTGTTGGGAAACACGGCTCGATCCAGCCCAGCAAAAACCTGAATGGCTGGGCAGAGAGGAATTTGCTTCTTTTCAGGGTGTCACCACATATCCCGGGTTAAAGTCCTCGTGGAACCGCCGTGTGAGTGCCAGCCACTGCTCTCTGTGAAAGCCGGGAGCTTCCCTAGTTTGTCCCAGCGGCTCCTGGCTAAAAGGGAATTGTGCTGCAGCTGGAAATTCGATCAAGCGAGTCTCAAAGCACTTCTTTCATCCTTAGTTGATGCTTAATACACCTTTACTCTGGCGGGTAGTGCTTCCTAAGCCTTGTCAACATTGCAGCCGAACAAAGGCCCATCTCAGGAGTGGTGTTGTGTAAATAAATCCTGTGCCTTGCAGGGTGTCACGGAGTTAATGGGAAGCCTGGAGAGGGGAGGGCGTGGGAGCAGCATGCCAGTGTTAACGTTGTGTTTTCTGCGCAGGATTGCAACAGGATTGCAACAGCCCGGCCTATCTGAGCTGCTGCACGTCCCGACAGCGCGTCTCTGCTCTTGAATTTGATAGGGGTGCTGATAGAACAATGCACCTTTCTGGGAAATGGTAATGCACAGCAGGACTTCGGGTTAAGGAGATTCTGAATAAACCATAGCAGCTTTCTTCTCACAGTGCTGATGATTTTCAGGTGGTCCACCAGGCAGCCAAACAAAAAATATATATGGCACTGTTCACTCAAAGGTTAAAGTTTTGGGGTGAGGAGGGGGAATGTTGAAAATCCCATGACCTTCAAGAGTTGTACTTCTATCTTTGTGGTAGCTTTGACTTCTTCACTTGCTGCTCACAGATCAGTAATCAGGGGACAATTGACAGGAATAATCCCCCAGGTGAAAATATACAACTGCCTCTGAAACAAATAGCGTTTCATATGCAAAGCTGTGTGATAAAGGGTGTGCCCAGGGTGCTTTTTCAGGCCACATGGGAAGTTTTACAGAGAGAAAATACCTTTTAGCAGGTCCTTTTCAGTTAGTTTCAAAATCCTCACTTGCTTTTCTCTAGAATGATTTTCCCACAAAAGGTGACAGAAACCATACGAAAAGTCTCAGCAGGGTTTACTGCTCCCCTACCCCTTTGTCTTTCCCTCTCTCCTGCCCCAAACACTAGGAGCTCTCAAAAATATTTTAGTATCCTGGAGATTAAAAACAATGTCTTTAATTTGTATTTGTCTTGTAATAGCTCTGACTTTCACCGCCTTGTCCTCCCCTTTATTGGGAGTACACGTGTGAACACTCCCTCTAATGTTGTTTATACGCCTGCTGTCAGGTTCAATAAGCAGTTTCTTAGCAGGGTACCTTCCCACGTAAAGAAAATGTTTCCATTTCTTGTCCCAGCTCCTGCTTCCTCCATGGGCAGTGTCCTGGCATGGAACAATTGAAATTACTATCAGTGATATCAGTAATTCTTAGCTGATAAATGGAAATTAACTCTAGAACCTCATGAATCTACTGGCAGCTTAGATGGGGGGCAGCTGTTAACCGGACATTTTATAGGTATTCCATTTCTGTGAGTTTTACATGGTATCTATTATAAATTGAGCCATTTTGTTAATAGTGGATCAGGAAAATTTTTTAACTATAGTACTTCTTAGGTAAAACTGAAAAAATGTAATAATCCATTGAAGGATTCTTTATGTAAATAGCAATGTTGCTAAAGAGAATAAAGATAAAATGTAAATATGAATAATTGCTCCTAAGACAAAGAAATACTGGCAAGCAGCCACATGGAAATTGGAAATTTAAATTTAACTAGTTTTATGCCAGTAAATCATACTGGCAGAGTCTCAGGACTAGTCAAGTGAATAGCAAACCCACAGGTAACTTGCAGGACCAAGGATTTCCCCTTCATGAATGGGTGTAGATAAGTAAAATTTCCCAGGGCAGAAAAACACTTTGTAGAAGCAGCCGAATTTTCAGCTTTGAAGTAGAAGAGATACTTTCATTTTCAGTATCTCCATTAGAGAGATACTCTTTTTGTGAGACCAGGAGTGTGAACTCTTGTGTCTGTGCCAAAATTCCAACCTAAGCAGAATGTACTCATCTAAATTTCCCTTTTGGTTTCATTTGGCCAAGGTATTCCTTGGTGTAGAGTTGCTGTGTACTGTTACAGCAGTTGCTGTGTTGGGAGCTTGGGAAGGCGCCCGCCTGGAAGAGGTTACATAAAACCCAAACCATAATAAGCTCAGAGAAACCCCTGAGTGTGATGATTAAAAAGAGAAAACGATTAGGGAAAACACATCAAAGAGGCTCAGTGAGAGTCCTAAAAGGAAAAATACTGATTATATTTGTTTTGCTTTTGTCTTACATGAGGTAAAAGGCGTGTGGTGTGTCCTGGGTCGCCACCCTAAGGGGTGTGTACTTAAAGACAACAGAAGCAGACTCCAAGGCTTCCACGGGGTTTATTTTGGTTGCAGGGCTGGGGAGATAAGATATAATTGTACCATATACATAGTGGTGCTATCAATCTGATGGATTACCCTTCCCATACACCCTGAGCACCTTGCCTACCCTCAGCTGCTAATCTGTGCCTACCAGGAGAACTTGCTTTCTGACCTTTCAAGAAACTTTCAACTGTGATTTTTTGAAACAATCACAGAAATGTTTTTCTTTCTCCAAACGTGCAGTTCCTCTCTCTGGTGAAAGCATTCAGAGGCTTCAGATGGGTAACATTGATTACTAAAGCTGGTGTGCAAGTTCAGTTCAATAACCTGTGAATCTTAGGCACTAAAAATTGTTTAGAATTCCACTCTTGGCCTGGCAATAAGAGTAGACATTTATTGATAGTCTTGTTGTTCACACTCTGCTGGATTCTGTTATTTCAGAACAATGTTAGATTCAATTTTAAAAGTTTTTTTAGACTTGGTCTGACCTGGGAACCAGGTTAGAAAAGGTTTGAACTAATAAAGTATGCAAAATGTGGTTTTAGAGCTCTCCTTTAATGTGGAAAGAGGAAGAAAGGTTTTAGTCAGTTATAACAAATCCAGTAAGGGAACTGTTTACTTTACTCTCACAGTTATTTATTTTAATTTAACTTCTCAGAACTTTTCAGCTGGGTTTAGTTCATGTGGGCTCACATATTAAAGAATAGGTTTTACTGATATGTGTTTTTCAGTTGTAACTCTGACTTCAGTAGTTACAGCCATTTTCTTTTGAACATTCTGATACAGTAGATCCCAAAAGTGAAAGGAAAATAACTGAACTTTTCAAATGGGGGAATATAAAATGGAATCCTAATAGACTTGGAATTATGTAGGAAGATAGCATTTATTTCCCCATGAATATAGCTAGCATATATAAATTTCTGAGGCAATAGTGCATATTATTTTCCTATATCAACAAAAATAATGGTAAAAAAATGCAAGGAATAGGAACACAGTGTGTTGGTGCCAGTTGGGTGATGCAGACTTTGCTGCTTATGCATATTTGACTTTGGTCTTGTTAGAGCCTTCCTAAAGTTGTGTCCAAACTGCTGGACAAACTGTCTTGTACTTTATGCTTTTGCATGTAAAAAAAAGAGGCTGCTTGGAACAAAACTTTCCAGGTGAAAGGTTTTTACATTGTCCTTATATCCTCCTGCCATCTTGGTTTGCTGACACTCTGGAAAATCCACCTGGCTCCTTTGGGACTCCGGAGAACAAGAGGTGGATGGGCCAAAGGAGAGTGAGAACAGAGAAAGGAACTGGAGCAACACTTTCCCTCACGCCTTACAGGCCCAGAGAACTCTTCTCTTTTTGATCTGATCCTCACAAAACATCAGAGCTGTTGGCAAAGCTAATAGCAGCATAATGACAAAACCAGCAGTGCCAAATATCTTTGGCCTTGCACTTTTTCTTCTCTTTAATATCAAAGCTAAAAACATGGTCTTGATTTATATGCAGGATTACTGATGTTAAAGCTATATAATAATACATCTCAAGCCTCGCACAATTTATAAATACACCAAACATGTAACTTAATAGTTATTTGTGCTGAATCTTTTATTTTCCTGCATACTCTGTCCTACCTTTGTTACTGAGGGCACTAATGCTGCATTAATGTAAGCAGAAACAGCTGCATTTATCTTCGTTTTATTCTCCCAAGTCACAGCGAGTGCTGTAATGAGAGCCATTGTCTGGAGCAAACCTTCTGAAAGTCTTTTAAGGGCATCCATCTGGGCAGACTTTGTGGTTATAGAAGGGCTGATGCTGTAAGTATTCATCCCACTAATGGTCTCATTGATTTTTATTTACGCTCTTTATAGGTTGCCCAGAGTCTCAGTCTGAGTAAGAACTGCAGAAGATGTGCTGAATTCAAGAACTGCAGGCGTGTGTTCAACTAAACCCAGGTTTCTATATCTGTTTTTAGGGTGCTTGATTGAAGTGGGGCCTCCAGAGCAGCCTGTTCTGTCTGCAGAGACCAGAGAGGTGCAGTTGGTGAGCAGTATTAAAAAACAGGTGCATAAGTTTGAAAATGTTGATCCAAATCACATTAATATAAATGGTAGGGAAATGTCATGACTTACTGAGATAAAACAAAGACCTGCTTAGAATCTAGTGACTTCAGCTTATAAATGGATTTCATCACTCATTACAGCTGCATAAACAAATGCATGTGGTACATATGCATGTTTTGTTTTGCAAAATTGCTGTTTTTAAAGTCCCCTCACAATTTTATTTTTTTTTTTTAATTGCTCCTAATGAGCCCATGCTCCCTGGTTCTGGAGCCTCGTTTACCTGGGCAGCACAGTCCACTCATTGCTTTTAAAAGGGAATGCAGTTTCCCAGCCTCTCTCCCCTTCTGGCAGCTGAGCTGTTTTGGCAAGCAGGCTATTTTAAAGGAGAAATTTACAATATGAAACCTGGTGTCAAAACTTTTATTCCTTTTATGAAAGTAGCCTTGCTGTGGTGCTCCTTTGGAGCTATGGAAATGTAATCCCAGCCCAGTCAACAGCTAGAGAAAGTCCTGTATCTCTGAGCTTAGACTAAGTTTGTCACATATTTAATGTATTTAATTAACTTATTTTTTCCTGTTGTCTGTGGCCTCATGGGCCTGTCACAAGGAATCCTAGAAATGGATGCCCTGTGATCACCCAAGGGGAATCAGTACTTCCCCCCATGTTTTCTTGACAATATGTTGCAAGTCGGATGTGGCAAGAGGAATCCAAGTTTTGGTCTTCCTGCTGTGGTTGTTACCTGAAGGCACAAATGGTGCAGTAGTTTGGGATGCAGAGAGACACCTCTCTGTGGATTTAAAACGTTGTACAAATCAAAACTGTCAAGCCATTCTCATATCTTTAAGTTTAAAGTAGTTGCTTTCAGCTAAACCCACACTTTTGAGAATCTCCAGGCAGGCAGTTATCAAAGTTTAACCTCAAAAAAGTTAAGATGGCATCTTGTTAATTCTTTGAATTTCAATGTGCCATTTCATAATCACAACTGAGAAACTGGATTAATCCTGGGTGGGTTGTGTCTCATTTTAACTTTACACTGCAAATTATTTTTTTAACCATATCTAAAAGGAAATTACTTTTTTTATTTCCCCAAAGAAAAATACTCAAGGATACTCCATTTTTGTGGCCATTTTTCTGATAAAGATTCAAAAATCAAATTTTAAAAAGGATATTGCTGGGGAAAAGAGGTACTTTTTTTTTCTATTTCAATCACAGCCTCCTCTTTTTACAAATAAAAATCAGAGTCAGGAAAGTAAAAAGAGCAACAATATGGGAGAGTTCATGGTCAGGGCTGCTTACGTGTATATCCTATATAGATGGATTTGTCCTAAGGTACTTTAGTTTGTTTCACTCCCTGGAAAAACAAAACAGGTAATAACAAGAAATCTCACTTAAACAGAATGAAACAAAAGCCTTTTGGCTTTTCTGTCAAGCAGAATGAAACAAAAGCCTTTTGGCTTTTCTGTCAAGCAATTTTTAGGCAACTGGGGAGGAGTCTTAATTGTGTGTGTTCCTAAAGATTGCTTAAACAAATTGCTCAGTGTCTGAGGTTTTGGGTGCCCTGTCCCTTCTGTCAAAGCCTTGGGAGAATCCAGTTGTTCCTCACCTCTGGAAACCTTCCCTCTTACGTGGGTAGCTAAAAAGATGCCTGACATTAGAGACTTGCGCTCCAAAATGTTGCTGTGAATGCCTTAAAATGTCACATTAATATCAAGAACGGTTCACCCACAAACCATCTGGCTTTGCAGATCTCAAAACGATCTTTCAATTAGTTAATTAAGCTTCCCTGTTTCCTAATAAGGCCTATTTGAGATGCTCTGAGGCTGGGGACAGCGGGGCTGTAGGTCTGCACTGAGCAGGTGTGGCAGTGGCCAAGGGTATCCTGGGGCAGTGGGAGATCCCAGGGAGTCCTGCCAGGCCTTACCTGGATGTGCTGGCTGGGAATATACCTGGCTTTGTCCTTATAAGGCCAGGGAACTGCTGCCGGAGCCCTGATCTTGCCCCAGCGCTTCCCCACAGTCCTAAAAAGGCAGTTCCTTGCTCCTGCTTCCCACAGCTGAGCTCCCCAGGGAGGACAGCGCTGCCGAACCAGGCATTGCACTCACAGGGAGAGCCTGTCCTTAGGGACTGTGCTGCTGTTTCTCAAGGCAGATGTTGTGTTTAGGGGCACTGCTGGGCTTCTCCTTCCTCTTGCTTAATGAATAATGAAAATATAATAGAGAGCGGTGTCCGGCGCGTTTCGGGAATGGGATAGATCCCGGTAGGATCTGCGCAGGGAAGGAGACGCACGGTGGGAAGCAGCTCAGAGTCGGAGTCTTGAAAGCATATTAGGTTTTGGTTTTATAATAGAAAGTGCTCAGCAGCAATATGAGCTCAAAGCAACTCGTGTCCTTTTTCCTCCCTCCCCTGGCTGCCAGTCCTGCTCTGTGCTCGTGCTTGCTCAGTCCTTTGTGGGGCCGTGCTGGGCTCTTGGTTTCATTCGTGCTGAAAGCCAGGAAAGGGTTTTCTGCTCAGATTCACAGAGTGGCATCACAAAACACTGTGCTCTTGTAACTGAGCGAGTGGTGAGTAGGAAAGAGGGGGGAAGAATTTATTAATGCCCCATGGTCTTCCTATTGTGAAATCTTTAGGTGCTGTACTCTCCTTCTGAATAAAAGCTCTTCAAATGCTGGGTATTTTATGAGACAGTTTTAGAGGTTTAATTAAAATTTTCTGAAGGATCTGATTATTGGCTTATTTATTTCACATGCCAAGTGACAAGCTTAGTTACAGTCTGATAGATTTTTAAGGACAAGTTCTTTGCTGGAGCCAGATCTTGGAAAGGCTTGAATATGCTAATTCAGAAGGGGTATTGCATGGGATTTTTTTCTTTTATTAAATCAACAAATCATCCTACCTTAATTTGAAATAATAAAGAGGAGTGTTTTTTGAAATCTAAGATCTGTGAAATGCTGGCACTGAGCAGTCACATGCTCATTTCAGAAAGGGGCTTAAAATACTTCATTTTCAAGGGGGCTGTTTGGGAAGAGTCCCTGCATAGTGTATGCTCTGTGGAGTGTGGGAGGCGTTGGGGTGCAGCTCCAGGCTCTGAACACGTTGTACTCGGGCACAGCAGTTTGTCTGCTCAGAGCCACATGCTTCCTTCCTTTATCAGGCTGCTCCTGGCAATCCTGCTCAACCTTTAGACTTCATGGCCTTTCTCAGGATGTAGCATTGGTTCCCTAATAACTCTTCTCTTGTCTTTTGCCAAGTTTCCAGCAGGCAATGAGGCCATGACAAGCAGGGTCACAGGTGTTGAAGGAAGTCAGCGGCACAAACAATTGTTATAAAGCTGGATTCTGCAGAAGCAGGGATGAAATGCTGCTCTATGAATCTGGCACACCATCCCCATCTTTTTTTTTCTGAGTTTATAACATGTTTTCTAGCTCCTTCTGCATCACGGCTAGGTGTGTGCTGTGGATTTAGTAGGTGTGGTTGAGTGTACTAATGGAATAGATTAAAAAAGAAAAGAAAAAGATTGCCATGCGCTCATTTAATGCATGTTGTTAGCTGAGATCTGGTCTGTGTTTCTGATATTGTTTTATACTGCTGGTTTCTGAAATATTTGTCATGTAAAACATTAAAACAAGTTATTCCCATGTGTGAATGGTAGTAAAGGAAATATTTAGACAATAAGGAAGAGGGTGATTAGAGGAGATCGTTGATCGGGCAATAAGGAAGAGGGTGATAGACACTCTGGTACCACAAGGCAGGAGGTGACACACACCTATGGAATTTGATAATTTGGGAGGACCATTTACAGCTGTAGGCTTAGGACATTAAGCATAGCAAAGAAAAAGTTTGAGAAAACCGTGGCAAAGGGATGTTCCTGCCTCTGCCAGACAAGGCAGGGGGTAGTCAGAAAAGGTTTTGTTGGAATTTAGGAAATACCACTCAATAAAGAAGTTCTTCCCCTTGGCATTTCTCTTTGGCTGTTGGTTGTGGTCCCAGCACACATCTTGTGTTGTGTTTGGGACCCAGAGCTTTGGAAGATGTGTGGTTTTGGGAAGACAAACACATGAAATGACACTGGGAGGACTGCCAGAAGCACACTATCTATTCTGAATTCAGAAAGTGCCCTCATGTAGCTTTTAAAGTGAAAAATGTTGCCTGTCTCCCATACTTTGTCATTAAGGCAGAACACCTTTAATGATGTTGGTATTTTTTATAGACTATTCCATCTGCAATCCTTTGTCTGAATGCAGTTATAATGAAATCAAGGACAGTCTCCTTCCAGTATATGAATTAAGTTAAATTGCAGAATTCAGAAAATGTAAACTTACCTGCCTCAGAAGGTTTCACTGCTTTAACCACACTGATAAAACAGTGAAAAACTGATTTGAAGGTGAAATTTAGAAAATCTGGGGCCCTTTCCACCACAGAGGTGGTCTGAATTCCCATGGTATAATGGTAACCCTCGTATTAGCCGTATGTGCAGGCTCAGCCCTTTGTTCATTGTCTGATCATCAATCTTCAGTTAGTTCAGTGACACTTGTGGAAAAAGGTGACTAAAGGTATCTGAATTTGCCCTTCTGGCATAGGAGGAATTCAGCTACTGTTCTGATAACTCAGGGTAAGGCACACTTTAGAACAAGCCAGTGCTGTTAAACCCCTTAGTAGGAACTGTAATCTATGTTTAAAAATGGGAGCATTATCGGGAAATGTCACTAAGAATCTAAGGAATCTTTAACCAATAGCTTATTGCCTCCAGGGATGGGCTCTGTAGGCAGTTTATAAAGAGTCAACATTTTACTGTTAGTGTGTTTGGCCAGGAAGCAAATACACTTTGCTGGTTAAGGGTGTTTCTATGCAAACTGTACAAACCCATGTGCTCAAGGCTGGCAGTGGCATTGCCACTTGTGGAGAGCAAACTTACAGAATTTAGAGAGTCAACCACTAGAGCTCAGTTTATTCACTGCTTTAGCAGAGCAGATTGGAAATCAGAGGAATTAGTACTGGGGAGTC